TTTTTTAAGTAGAGACAGGGTTTCACCATGTTGGCCAGACTGGTCTCGAACTCCTAACCTCAAGTGATCTGCCTGCCTTGGCTTCCCAAGGTGCTAGGATTACAGGCATGAGCCACTGCGCACGGCTGATCCTCCCATCTTGACCCAAAAAAATGTTGGGATTACAGGCTTGAGCCACCTCGCCTGGCCACCTTTGAAGATCTTAAGGACACCTCCCTATCTTTGAAGATCTGGGGACCCCCCCATCACCTGCACAAAGAGAGGAGGCAGATGTTTTGGGGACAGCTGGGTCCCTGAGCCACTGTCACTCCAGGATTCTACTTGGTTTTTGTTTTGTTTTGAGACAGGGTCTCACTCTGTCATCCAGGCTGGAGTGCAGTGGTGGGATGTTGGCTCACTGCAGCCTCCACCTCCCGGGTTCAAGCGATTCTCCTGCCTTAGCCTCCCGAGTAGCTGGGACTACAGGTGTGTACCACTATACCCAGCTAATTTTTGCACTTTTTGGTAGAGATGGGATTTCACCATGTTGGCCAGGCTGGTCTTGAACTCCTAACCTCAAGTGATCCACCTGCCTCGACCTCCAAAGTCCTGGGATTACACACCTGAGCCACCTCACCCTGCCTTCCAGAATTCTATTTGTAACTGGCCTTTACTCCATCCTGTTGCCCCCTTGCTCACCCCTCCAGGCAGCTGGTCACTTCATTCCAAGGGGAGGCACCAATAAGGGGAGGGGGGACTCCCACCTCTGATCTGCCTCCCGGGCCTCACATCTGAGCTCCAGCGAGGGACCTTGTTGAGGGCCTTGATGGGGCCCTGTATTCACCCACATTCCCCAGACCTTGAGGTCACAGTACCTTCTCTCTCATCTGGAGCGCCCCTGCCTTCCTAACGAGGTCCCTCCTCTATTGCTCTGCCTTCCTGACATTCCATCACCCACCTGGTGTTGAGAGAGCAACTAAATCCAAGTCCAAAGTATTTGTAAATAGCAGGGCCCAGTATCATGGGCCTGGCGCCTGTAGTCCCAGCTCCTTGGGAGGCTGAGGTGAGACGATCAGAGCCTGGGAGGTTGATGCTGCAATGAGCCAAGTGCACTCCAGCCTGGGCGACACAGTGAGACCCTGTTTCCAAAAAACAAAGATGCCGGGCTCAGTGGCTCATGCCTGTAATCCCAGCAATTTGGGAGGTGGAGGCGGGCAGCTCATTTGAGGTCAGGAGTTCCAGATCAGCCTGGACAACATGATGAAACCCCATCTCTACTAAAAATACAAAAATTAGCTGGGCATGGTGGCTCGCACCTACAATCCCAGCTACTCAGGAGGCTGCAGCACAAGAATTGCTTGACCCCGGGAGGTGGAGGTTGCAGTGAAATGAGATCACACCACTGCATTCTTGCCTGGGCGACAGAGCAAGACTCTATTTTAAATTAATTATAATATTTATAAATAGTGAGACCCTGTCTGTAAAAATTAAAAAGAAAAAAATATTTGTCAATAAATCATATTTCTGGCCGGGTGGCTCACACCTGTAATCCCAGCACTTTGAGAGGCCGAGGCGGGTTGACCATTTGAGGTCAGGAGTTGGAGACCAGCCTGGCCAACACGGTGAAACCCTATCTCTACTAAAAATACAAAAAAACTTAGCCAGGCATGGTGGTGTCCACCTGTAATCCCAGCTACTTGGGAGGCTGAGGCAGGAAATTGGTTGAGCTTGGGAGGCAGAGGTTGCAATGAGCTGAAATCATACCACTGCACTCCAGTCTGGGTGACAGAGTGAGACCTTGTCTCAAAAAAATAAAAATAAAAATAAATTATATTTCTTTTTTTCTTTTTTCTTTTTTTTTGAAACAGGTTCTCACTGTGTCCCCCAGGCTGGAGTGCAGGGATGCAATATCAGCTAACTGCAGCCTCCGCCTCCCAGGTTCAAGCAATCCTCCCAGCCCAGCCTCCCTAAGAGCTGGGAGCACAGGTGCACATCACTGTGCCTGGCTAATTTTTTGTAGAGACAGCTTTCACCATTTTGCCCAGACTGGTCTGGAACTCTTAAGCTCAAGAAACCTGCCTGCCTTGACCTCCCAAAGTGCTGGCATTATAGGTATGCCCCACTGCAGCTGCACCCGCTAGTAATATTTCTGTTAAAGAAATATTTCTGGGCTGGGCATGGTGGCTTATGCCTGTAATCTTAGCACTTTGGGAAGCCAAGGTGGGCAGATCCCTTGAGGTTGAGAGTTTCAGACCAGCCTGGGCAGCATGGCAAAACCCTGTCTCTACTAAAAATACAAAAAAATCAGCCACGAGTGGTGGCACACAGCTGTAGTCCCTGCTACTCAGGAGGCTGCAACAGGAGGATTGCTTGAGCCTGGGAGATTGAGGTTGCAGTTAGCTGAGATTGCGCCCCTGCACTCCAGCCCGGGTGACAGAGAAAGGTCACCTACACGTTTAAGGGGCATCTGTGGCCCGGCACAGTGGCTCATGCCTGTAATCCCAGCACTTTGGGAGGCTGAGGCGGGTGGA